TTTAAGGAAAATTAGCTTTAAATTTGGTATATTTAAACAAAAAGGAAGTGCTCTGACTCTGTTGTTTGCGTCAATGTGAAGAGTTGTATAGGTGGTGCACAGACATTTTAACAAATATCTGACCAGTATCACTATAACAACAGCATTAAGGTCTGCCAGAGCTGGAAGAGAATGAGAGACTTTCTGCTACATGGCTGCGCTAATTAGATCAGTACTGCACTGGGATCAGATAACTCTCAGAATGTGTTGGTATTTGTACTTTATCAGGTGTTTTATTAAAACGTGCACTCATATATTTTAAGCAAAGTGCCCAGAGAAGACTCATTATGTTATGTAACACTGTTAAACTGCAACTGCATTTGTATTACTCATATTATTCAAAATTATCAAAATTATCATTAAAATATCTAATATATTTGGCTGAAATATAAAGTTGTGTTTAATCCATGTTTATAAATCAGCTTCCAGGCTAATAAAGGAAAAATCAGCTGGTTTAGTGTAGCCAAGAAGGCAAATAATATTAATGACTTAATAACCTTCATCATTGGAGGTTTCAACTATAGAAACATCCAACTACTGCTTCAACACCTACACTAGTTAGTTCATACCGAATAACTTTAACAAAGATTTATTTGAATACGATATCTGTAGTGGTGTCAGGCTAAATGACCACCTTAAAAATGTGGACACAAGGTAAAGCAGGCTGTGTGAACCGGTCAAAACTGAGAAAGGAAAACATATTTGCAAGGTGGAAAAAAAGTAAAATTTTCTAAATTGGGAAAAGTGAAGTTCTGTTCTTAGTAGAATTATGTTAGTAAAAACCTTGCTCACTAATAGTTAAATGAATTTGAATTTGTTTCGCTGGACTAACAAACCTTAGCTAAACTCACAGTAGTGGTTTTCCTATCTCAAACTGCTGGGCCATTACCGGCCTTCCATCCACCCTAAAATACAATATAATGTGGCTCACAACATTTTTGTTATTTTTTTGTAGTTGTTTCATATCTATTTACCCCTTCATATACAATTTAAATATAAACACAGTTCTATTTTAAAAAAATTATTTGGGTTTGGCACAAAATACTTGCAAAAGTCAAAGGTGCCTGCCAGCGGTTAATAAGAAGAGAGCCGGTTTCGGGCCTTCATTTGTTGTTTGGCTGCAATCAACAAAGATTCTATAAAATGATATAAAACTGTATAGAAATTGCAGTTTGCATTTTTCTGTCAAGAATTATTTTAGCAATGGAAATATTTTCAGAATATTGTGCTTTCTTGTAGTACTTAAACATTGAAATGGCCTTCCTATGAGATGACAATACCAGCAGTGGCCCCAAGCGAATTTGAGTTTTCTACATAAAATAATATAGTTCATAAGTTAAAGCATTATATCCCTACTGATCATACAAATGCAATGCTCACATAAAAAAATGTCAAACAGCCATTTTGAGGCCACAGGAATGCTCTGTTTATTGTTCTCTTTGGTAAGAGACAATCCCAAATCCCATCAGCGTCTTTAGTTTGTTTTTTGAAAGTTTGTTTGCGCTGCTAAAAGAAATCATGAATTGTTCAGTCTGATGCATCAAATATGGAGTTAGGAGTTGACTGTGAATGTGTTGTACAGGTCCGATTTTTTGTTGTGTGTTAATTCAACTATGGTCCAATGCAAAAATAGTGTTCATGACCCATTTTAGGGGTGAGCGTTTGTGATGTCATCCCAGTTCTGATCTCATTAATCATCTGTTCTGCTACAGTGGTAATTGGCCCAATCCTAAACATTATCATTTCCATTCTGTATTTTAAATTTGGTTGTTGCATGTTTTCTAACTATTTGTAGGACTAAAAAAACATCAGGCTTTTTCAGGAAGCTATTTTTGGATAATAAAGCTTGTCCAGGGTGTTTTTTTTATTTTGCTCTAAAGAGACTTTAACATTTCGCTGTCAAAGAGATTGGCGACAAATGTTCCACAACTGTCTCTGCCACCAAGGAACACGGGGAGAGCAATTTACTACGCTCACCAGTCACTCTAATCTTCAAAGGATGCTGTTATTGCACTGCTTACATCGCTCTCTATCCACACAGAGTTTATCCGGCCCATCCTGCCAGACTGTGTCAGGTAAAGTGCTAGATTACAGTCTGTGTCAAGTGAACTCCCCCCAAAACGACAGCGCTTAAAATATCGATGCCACCGTTTGTTTTGTTACTTTACACTTTTTTACCGTTGCTTTTTTTTAAGAGAAGGTGTGGGAGTGATACAGTGATTTCCTCTCCATATCTGCTTGACACCAGGCCTCAGGGGCGGGGGCTGTCAGACCGATCTGAATGGAGCGGATCTGCGTGGCGGTGCCTGACGAAGCGAGGGCATACTGTACTGAAGCCGGTCGGCGTTTTGCTCCGGCCTTTAAGGGGATCAAAGTCAAACTCCAGCAGAGCAGAGTGGTTGTAACTACAATGCATCAAGGGCAGCGCTCCTCTTTGCCTAATTGTGAGGTGGTTCAAAGGGGAGTGAAGCTGCTCCGATTAGATTGTGCTGCAGGAGGGGAGCGGGCGAGGAGGCAGAATGGTGTAGAATGGAGGTGTAGTATCAGGAGGAAAGTGGAGACAAAGAGAGAGATACAAGTGGGATGACAAAGGGTGGGGTGGAGGGGCTGGAGCTGAGAGCAGAACAGAGGGGAGGAAACGCAGAGCCAAACTTGCTCCCTTCTGGTGCCAGCACATTTCATCCTATTGTCTTTTTTTCCCTCTTTTCAACAAGCTTTGCCAGTCACAGTCCATTGCCCAGATGAAGCTTTGGACCACTAGTTTGGAGGAGATATAAGGCTATTGCACATGCCAGACTGCCAAGTTTGTAATACGGGTTTTGCCAAAATTGCCACTGTATTATTTTCCTGGTTTAATGTTGTTTGAGCAAACAAGGGCAATGACTTCCACTTTGGACTTCCATCGCATTAATATTTCAATGCGCAGGCCAAGAGAGCAACAAAAGTGTGTACAGTTTCCATTCCAGGGTTAGCTGTGCTTTTTTTTCTTTGTTCACTATGTTAAGACCATCTATTACAATTTCTGTCCACATGAGTGCCTGTAAGCATTTTTCTTACATCCTCTGACATCCAAAGGTACTCAGTGCATTCTAAATTTAATGCAAACTGTATGATACGAATAAACTCTACACAAGCGGAAAATAACCGTGAGAAAACAGCGGTCAGTTTTGAAATTTCAATCCGAGCACCCATGCATGAACGAGCACTACTCGCCCCTTCGTTTCTTTGCTGCACTTGGTAGGTGTATGTAAATGTCTCTGCGTGTTAAATTCAAATGACGTGTCAGCTCTGTGGGCTCATGCGAGGTGGTGATGAATACAATTAGTTTCACATTGCTAATGCATAAATAATGACTCCCCCTGGAACGGAGTGAGCGTTCTCTTGTCAAAACGCTGTCGTATGCAGCTCTGCATCTTCCCTCTTCATTTCGTCTGAGCTCTTCTATTGGCTAATAGAGGTTGTCATGATGAATGTGTGAGATGTTATATGAGTGAATATTATTTCTCCATACACTCACTTCACTGTAAGCTCATGCCGTTAAGTTGGTTAATATAGGTACCATTGTGTGATAATGCTCTTTGTGTGTGTATATATAAAGGTCTGTTACAGTGAGTACTATTCAACACGTTAAAACACTTTAACTCTGGAATTTTTGTTAATGCTGAGAAAATAACCCCAATGATGTCTCATCTCAAGTTGAGCTTGGAGACTACACCTTTATGACAGAAAACCTGGATTATAACTGGGGCCTCCCTCTGTGTATACCAGTCAGGGAGGATCTAACAAAAATATGCTACTAATTGCATTATGGGAAGTGTAGTTGACCCATATTAGGGACTAAGATCTATTTACACTTTGCCGCTTCATGTGTCTCGGGCAGATCAGATAGCTACCTGATAACAAACTAAACTAAGAGTCTACAGCCATGCTGGTGGCTCGGCAAGGCTCAGCTACATGCTGACACCAGCACGCTTACATGTTCACAATGACAGGGCTAATATTGTGATGTTGAACGGCTATAGTGTTCGCCATGTTCACCATCTTAATTTAGCATGTTAGCGTGGGCTAGAGGCCCTGATCTTCATGTAGCATGGGAAAACCAAGATCAGATTTGTGATGTGGCCTGTTGAGATTAATATATGTGGTTTTGCTGTTAAGGGCCTCAGAATGTTCTTTTCCTGCAGCAGGGTAAGATCAGATATAGACTTAGAGAAAGGGTAAGCCGGGACATGTTGCCTGCGAAAGTCTGTAACAGAATAAATAACTTTACGGTTGCTTGCATTTACAAGTGTAGTGACTGTGAGACGACTGGTAGCCAGATCTAACCTTCACACACACTGGCTGCTTGATTTAATAATAAGGGTACAAATTATTAACCTTTAAATAAGTGACTCTTGCAGCAAGGCATCAGATTATGGGCTTATCATGTTTGACAGGCTGATGGGTAAATTGTTAAGTGTCTTTATGAAAGTGACAGTTGACTTTCTTGTTGTTTCCTAGCAACATGCTAAAAGCCAGGTTGTGATTTTGCTGTACCTTGGAAAGTAGCTCCATTACCTAGGAATATACTGTATTTCTGGTACAACTTAATTTATTTTTAAGATGTGGCTGTTTCATTTGCTGAAAAAAAGGAATGAGATTTCTAAGAGTCCCAATTAATTGATTGTTAATGTGCAATTGTAGGAATGGCAGAAGTATTAAAAGTAAACAAACGGTGGAGTCTAGCAGGAAAAAAAAGCAAGAATGGTAAAAGCAGGACATGGACTTGTAAATAATTTACACCCTTATTATTTGGATACAGATTTTCTACAATCATCTGATTCACCAAACAGCATAACATACATACTTTATTAGTCCAAGGAGCTGTCAGTTTCGCACTTTTAACCAAATCCATGTTGTCTTCTGGGTTTGATTTTCCAACAGTACAGCTCATGGATTCGGCTCACAGCCAACTGTCATATCTCAGTTTTCCATCAGCAGATGCACCATGTGAGTCTGCATTCTTAAGTACATTACAAGGCAACCATCAGGCAACTGAAAAAAAAAAAAAGAAAATACAGTATATATTTCAAATTTCTTAAAAGTTGATAGTACACTTTACTGCTATTTCCAGGGCTATTTCTGATCTCATAAAATATGATCTTGCATTAGCATACTATTGTAATTACTAAGATTGTAATATAGCCAGTTTAAAGCCCAGAGTCATGGCTTATGGAGGGCACAATGCTGCCAAAACAGTGCAGGGTTTTGCTGGTGCTGAAAGCAGCTAAACACATTCGCAGCCTGCCTGCCTGCCAGCTACCAAACTGCAGCTACTTCACACACCACCACCAAGTGCTGGTACACTTAATAATTCATTATACAGTGAACTGCAGTAATGTCAGTGAATAAACATGACTTTTGGAGGAACTTTTTTGCTTTTAGCCAGTATACTACCACTAATTATCCGTTTACAGGCACAGTGTTACTGCTGTGCTTACTTATTGTGATCATTGTGTTAGTTCTCCTCATGTATTTCCCAGTAAATACCAAAATCTAACAAAAGATGGGGGTAGATGGGTGGCTAATGTTCGCCGAGATAAGACATTATGTAACAGCATTCTTTGAGGGTCTTGTTAGTGTAACTCCCTTAACTAAAACCACAGTAGAACTAAGGGAAACATACTGTCTATTTGCAATGGATAACTTCCAAAAAATGAATAAAAATAATACTCATGGACTTATTAACACAATAGAAGATGTATAACGTTAACAGAAACTCACAAATGACCAAAAGTTTTAACGGACTGAATGGCTCAAATTCTGATAGTGAAACGAGTCATTTCACAGAGGTTAAGATGCTCAAAAACATTTATCCACCATTTTACAACCACTTCTTTCACAACGTAATCTTATTGGAAAAAGTATTTTTGGGCCAGATCACATGATAGACGCCATTGCTGTAATTACACAGTTTGGCCAACATGAAACTGAGCTCAAATTGGCTTCGAAGCCCAACGCTCTCCCTCGGGGCTTAGTATAGCACCATCAGGTAATTCTGTTTTGTGTCGCTTCGTAATTACTACTAGTCAGAGGGATGTTGCCCCGGGATGCCTTTCGAGGATCTTTCAGTCGTCACTGAATACACAAACTATGAACAAGACACCACAGTGAGAGAATAAGTGTGTGATGTCCACGCATCTCAATCAGAAAAACCTCCTAATATGATGCATTTTAATTTTTCATAGCTGTGTTTTCCTTTACCTGTTTTATTTAAAAGAAAAATGTAAACTGAAAAGTTTCAAGAATTCGTTGGTCATGGCCTAGACTCAAACAGGACTGGATCTGATCATAAAATTGAATTGGATTCAACAGAGGTGGTCTTGCCTAGAGCCAAGAAACAAAACAGTCTCATTAAATTTCACGACATAAGCACAAACTCAGAACCGTGAACTTTGCATTCCTCCTGCACAACAAGATGTTCTGCCAATAGCAGCACTTGGATATGGACGTTGGACACGGACACGTAAGATAAAACTTCTGACTGTTGAATTAAAACTAATGCAGTCTCACCTCTTCACATCTTGGTCAGCTGACCACTGGATATTTGCTCTGTGACACCTGCAAAGTGAAGCACGGAGCTCAGAAAGGCCAGCCAGCTGTTCTCAAATGTCACCAGCATCCTGCTGAGGATTTAGCTTCTGTTACTGGCTGAAACACAGAATCAGACACGTTACAATTTTACATCGCAGCCTTCATGTTCTCCAGGATCTAATTAGCACAAAATTATAAAACCACACATGCATAGACCCCGAGCTACCCCCACCCCATCACCATCACTGACTAATTTATTTAATGATAAATGTACTTGATCTAAACCCTGACAGGATGATTAATGTGAGGAAGAATACGAGTATGCTTTATGCATGGACGATTTTAGAGGGTGTGATATTTTTTTTTCTTTCAATACATGACAAATTCCCCTCTTGTCACTTCATTGTATCTATAAACATAGTGGCTCACATTAGCTTTTCATATAAATCTGCAGCTTGTCATCCACTTGTTTGTTGCAGTGATTCTATTTTGAAAAGTTTGTATTTACAAAGAATTTTTCTAAACTTACTTCACAAACTTCATAAGTTTCTGATTTGATTAAAGAAGAATTTTTTTGCCTCTATTCTTGGGAAAGATACAGGATCTAAGACTTTCCAACACTGAGTTTGTCTACGTCACATATACCCTTAAGGGCCCCTGTGGAAATGTTCTTTGAAACTCTTTTTTGAGCCCTCAGAGCAGTTTTTGTTTTACTTTGCAATCCTTTTACATTCTCTTACAATCATGGGCGCTGGAAATAAATAAAATAAATAAATATAAACTCTGGCATAATAAAAATGTTTAAAAAAAGTTAATAAAAATCTTTTTTTACTGGGATTTATATTTATACAGGGCTCTTTATGTCAAAGAAAGTAACATTTTGCCTTGTTTTTTATCAGTTTTATCCACCAAGAATTAATACAGTTTGTACAAAGTTAGTTAAATACTATTAAATAGGCTATAATTGATCCCGTCCATTCAAATGAATGCAAACCATGAATGCAGTAGTCATTAATATGATGTCATTATATAGACAGACTTTATCTTAGCACCCCCAACTCTGACAGACTTCCAGTGTCCCTGCTTGCAATGCCTAAATTAACCTGGCTAACAGTAAATCTTGGCTAGCAAGACGCAAGGCTGTTTGTGATGATGAAAGCATTCACAGGCAGCAGCTCCTGTTCCTTCCCTCCATGTCTGTGTATGTTAGTTGGAGTCAGATCTGCAGGCTGTTTGGCTGGAAGCCATAAATTGTGCGTCCTTGAATGTGCATTTTGTAATGCCAATTATTTTTAACTTTAAAAGAAGACACAGTCTAAATTCATTTTCCTGCAAAAGGACAAAGTCAGCGGCAGTTAATGTACAACAGTGTGCAGTGTAGATGCTTTGTTGGTTTATCAGACCTCTACACTTGAATTAAAAATGGTAAGTATAGGGGCATAGTTGACATGCATCAGGTTTTTTGCCTTAAACATTCAGTATGTGCAAGAGACAGACTTTTTGATGACTGAAAAGTTCAGAAGCATGGGATACTTGGGACCTAACAAAGGATAAGGATACGTTGTGCTCAATTAATGTATTGCTTTTACATTATATCAATATCAATGTATAATATCTATGTGTATACATGTATATCTGCTCAGTCATCATATTATATAGACATATTATTATATTATTATAAATATTATTAATATTATCATTATATACTGTTATTATTATATACTGTTATTAACAATAACACTACCATCATGTCATCAGTACTATTACCACCATCTTGCAACTACAACTCTTTGCACCTTACCTACCTATTTATCTTTTTTTATTTTTTCTAAGTATTTTATTCTATTGCTGTATATCTATCTATCTATCTATCTATCTATCTATCTATCTATCTATCTATCTATCTATCTATGTGGATTTTATTCTGTCTAAATTCAGCACTGCATCTTCTCATTAACATGAATTCATTACATTAGTAACATATTTAGGTTTAGCTTTCAACTTTTGATTGTAACTGAAGTTATAAATAACAAAAAGTCAAAGATTCAGTTGAAACTTAAAAGTTTTATGGATAGAAAATTAGATCAAATAAAACATAAATCTTTCTGAGCTGAACATGATGTATATACATAGCAAGAAGCACAATTAAGTCAGTAGTACTACTGTGTTTGCATTGTTCAGACTATGAAAACACACAGTCCAGTTGCGATAGTGATATTAAAAACCTGAATTTCTTTTCTCCACAAACAGTTTCTGACATTGGTTTGCAGAGGGCAGGGCTCTACTTTCCCCCTCTGGCTACGACTCTTGGGTGTCGCTATCAAGGCTTGTAGCTGGACTGTGCTTATTTAGCTCGCTAACTAGCCACATTCCCCTAGCCTAGCTAACACAGTATACTTAATTAACCTTAACAAAACAGCTATTTACACCTTTTTAGCTTGCTAACAGCCCGCATATTTAGCATGCTAAGTCATGACCATTGACGATATATATAATGGACAGAAAGTCTGTGAAGTAAAGCAAACACAAGGTATCTTAAACCTGCATTCTATGGAATGGCCAGCAGGGGTCCCCTCTATGGGCTGCAGTAAAAGCACGCACTCTTATGGAGAATACTCACTTGATTTATGAGCTCAGTAAACAGTTTCGTGATGAGTTTATGGTCTCAATCGTTTCAAGTCTTCTTCCATACACTATGATGTTCATTAAGTAAATGATGGTCCCATTTAGAGTAAAACAGACAATAAAGCAGGGTATGCTTTTGGGCGTGGCTACCTTGTGATTGACAGGTCACTCTCAGTGAGTCCATCCAGCTCAACCCACGAAACTCAGATCAAACTGTCAAACTCAGTGCTGATCAAATATGAATCAAGATTCTGTTACTGCATTGCCTATTTCTAAAATCATTTCAGAAACATAATTTAGTGTACTGTTTATCTATAGTATGAGATTGTGTGTGACCAGGTGAGCGGCCATTGTTTCCTGCTACAGACAAGACGACCATAATGCCAAACTCGAGGTTTCAAAGCGGTACTCTTCAAACAAATGGGTGACGTCACGGTTCACACTTGCTTGCGACATGCAATGGCTCAAAGAAAAAGAAAAGTCCTTTGTGCCCTTGTACTTGTGGATTTGTTAGAATTCATTTGTGTCAATCAGGAAATCTTTAATATGAAAGGGAGACGGTAGTGCAACAGCTAGTGCCATGATTTCATGTCTCCCATATTTTGGGGGAAATTTAGGGGGTTTAGCAGCTTTATACTGCTATTACATAGGGAGCAGTCTTTCAAAAATCTTGCTAATGGCTTTTAAGCATGTTAAAATTATTGTTTTGTTTTGTAAACCTTTTGTAACTGTGTTTTCACTAAAACCCCAGCATTATTATTTAGGCGAACAGTATTCTGGAAGCACCCATTAATGAATGGAAACACTGGGAAATCACAGACACAGTGTTTTGATTACCATTTCACAAGGTGTTTGCTGGTAGGGCTTGCTTCATCAGTACAAGAAAAATGAAACCAGAATATACAGCTGAACAACACAACACAACTCTGCACGTCTGAGATGATTTTGTTTTACCAGCAAATTACCTCAATAAAACAGCAGGGAAAAGATTTGCTTGTCAGTCATCTCTATAGCTGACATAAACGAAGATGTTGCCACATGAGGTGATTACCTGTTAATAATGCTCAGTGGGCATTATTAGACAGTGGGTTTTCCATTCCTTGAAACCAATTAGCCATGATTCAAGAATGGTTGTTTTCTTCCAACAGTGGGAACTACCAGGACAACTGCACAGTTATACAACATGTACAAAAAACAGAAATATAAATCAGTAATGTTTAGAGGCAGCAATAGACAACAGACAATTATGTGTCCCCTGTATATTTCCTGCTTTCAGTGGTGACATTCAAGAGAAAAAACACCCAAACTGTCATTTCTGAAGGCTGAAAATATGCAAGGGTCATATACACTGTAGTATGTGCGCATGAAAGCAGCGGGTTTCATAACAGAATGCATTATTTGAGAATGTTTTCCTGCGTAGGCCAGGCACATTGTGAATATGAGTTGGTATTTGATACACTCAGAGGGCATAGTTCCTGGGGGAAGGGACATATGATGGCGTTTCGTTTTGAAATGAAAAAGTTCCAATGAATGAAAAAATAGACACAACAATGCAGAGGATGGAGAATATATCACATTTTCTCTGAAATGACCTTTTCTTTGGTGGTTGTTATGGTCGTGAGACGCTATCAGACATGAGTCCCTCAAGGTAGGAACGGATGAGAGGGTCTTTAGATATCTGAATCAAGATGGCTTTAAGTAAATGTTATTCAGACTATCATAGATGAAGACTGTGTTTGGACCTTTGCCCTGATTCAGTCCATACAGAAAATACAAAACCTTGCATTGACTTGAAAGCTATGAAGTATAATCTGCTGCTGTGCTGTCGGATGTAACTCTGTACATTTCATTTTAGGTTTTCTTCATAACTGGAATTAATAACTGTTATACATGGGATGTGTGAGGAACCAGGGGCTGTCTGTTTGTACAGGATGAACGATAATGTGTCTTGGTTATAAACTTATGAATATTTCCCCCCTAGTAACACACTCTCACACCCAATACACTCTCATAGGGCTTCACATAGTTCAACAACACTGAAAACCACTAACGGTACAGCTTTAGATTTCATCCGACAAAATACTATTTTCTGCATATGGAAAGCGTTTGAAGATCCAATCATCACTAAAGCGTATGTCATGCAAGAGAGTCAATAAAAATGTAATGGTCAAAGTTGTCATATTGGCATTCAAGGTGTGTTGATTGATTCACAATGTGAATCATTACATACATGCTGGAAAACATTTCATCTTGAAAGCTGCTGGTAGCTGCAGGTAGCCTTGCGAATTGATGCATTTTATTCCCCTAGTCCACAACTAGCCAAGTCAGTAAGATGAAAAGGCATCAAAACATCCTTTCATTCATCATTCCATCTTCTGACGGATTCTTTGTACTTCATTTGCAAAGAAACACTGTATTGCCAACCTGTTGAAGAGGCCAGCCTGTGCTGCATCCACAATGCCTGCAGGAAATGAAAGCATACTTAAAAAACA